GCTGCTTCTAGAAAGCTTTTTAATAATATGTATCAAGAGCCATAAAATATTCACATTCTTGACCCAGTAATTACATGTCTATAAGTCTACCCTAAGGAAATAATATCACTTATGCACAGAGGTGTTAATTGCAGGTTTATTAAAAATAACCAAAATTGGAAATAGCATAAAGTCCCCAGACAGGGGGGAATCATGGAGCAAATTATGCTCCATGCTGCTCAAGGAAGTTTCTCTTACGTGACAGACTAGGCCAAGGTCCCCCATGTATGCCCTATCATGGTCCACCTGTGCTTCCTTTGTGTCACTCACTATTATGATTAATCAAATACCTGTGTAATTATTTAGTGACTTCTAATACTATGCTCTGTTTCTCTTGTCTTCTCCAACACGTCTTCAACACTTAAGATGGATTCTGACACATAGTATCTGCTCAATAAATGCAGAATGAATAAAAGAACACAGTATGTATAAATGAATTTGAGGACTTCGAGAGATTCTCATGATACAACATCAAGTGAAAAAATTAGGATGTTAAATTAACAGAAAAACAAGAGTAGTTAAGCTCCTCCTAAGTAACATTTTATGCCATTTAGTAAGAACTTGTTAGAATAGTGTCAGGAAAGCTAAAGAACAAAAGAGCAGCATTAGCTGAGACTTATAAAAAATACTTGAGTCAGCAATTGCTTTTTTAAGGTATGTCTGAAACAAGGAGAAAAGCAAAGGACTTTGCTTGGGAAAGTTGATGTAGTGGTCATAGAGGGAAGAGAGAAAGAAGTGCCCATTTGACTTTTCTATTCAACGAGGGAGCTGTGTTCAACCTAAAGAGGGCAGAACGATGCAAAGATGGAACTCCAGTTCCAGATAGGCAAAGAGCTAGTGGCCTCAACAATCCAAACCTGTATGAATTGGATTCCGGGGCCTAAAGGCATTTCAGAGCCACTGACAGTCATCTTTGAGAGATTACAGGAAGCACCGAAAAATAAAATAACAGAATACTGAGGACGATGTGGGATTTTCAGAGAAAGGGAAGTTTGCTCTTTGTTGCTTTAAAGACAAAAGGAAAACCAGTGGATTTCAGGTGTAGGTAAATAGATAGAAGGGTCAACATTAGGGGAAAACCCTTCAACCAGTTACTAGCACCATTCAACGTTCCCCTGCGCTGCCTTGTGTACCCCAGACACTCCAGGACCTGACAGAGATGATGGGGAAGGGCTGGGCTGGGTGTTAACAGAAGACCTCTGCCATCCCTGCTCATTCAAGCTGTCTCATTCTCTCTGGCAGTCCAAGCCACAAAATCACAGCCATGATCTCAAAACCAGTGAGCTTGAGCTGTTTACAACAGCTGCAGACTTCTCATGAAAAAGACCAAGAGTACATCAAGGCTTGGGAATCAGAAGGCAAATCAGAGGCATGGTTGCTCAGGGGAAAACCGGACACTATACAATCTACCCTTTGCTCACCCCAACACCAGTCCAGCCAAAAAAGTCAGGATTCAGACTAGAACATAGTCCAGGTTCCCTTTTAGTTCTTTTTTTTTTTTTCCACCTGGTTTATCTTTTAGTTTTCCTAATTATAAATAATCAATCATCCAATTGGTTCTGGAATTGCATCACTAATGGTCTGGAAAGATAGTACTGCGGTATTGACTGAGTTTAGAAAGACCAGGAAAAACGTCTCCCAAACTTCAAAGGATTTACTCATTTAAAACACACCAAAAAGCCCGAGTGATAGCATGCAGTTTAGACTAAAGACACCAAAGAGCTTGAAGATAAGATATAGAATCTCAGAACCTTCTATGGAAGCTGTGAAAATGCTATCAGGATCATCTCCAAAAAATGCAATTTACTGTGAAAGTCTAATCAGTCATTTGGCAAACATTTCCCTGGACAGATAAGAGATTAGAGTGGGGGAGGGGAGATGGCAAAGGGGCCCTCCCTACAAGAAACAGGGACAATTAATTACTGGTATCACTGCTCATATCATAACAATACAACTCTCTTCCCTCTTCAAAAATTATTAAAAATTATGACATAGGAAACAAAATAGGTCAAAGAGTGAACAGCTGAATTTCAGAAACAAAGGACTCAAGTTATTCATATGGAATGCAAGTCTGCTTTTTACCCACTTTATCTGGCCCACATTCCAAGGCACCTTAGAAAGGTTACTAAACAAACAATCATGTCAGAAGCCAAGCATATCTCAGAGCAAGCACAGACTGAGTTCTCAAGGTCCTCTTCTATACAGGAGTCCATGATTCACTAAACATTCCAGATTTCATCCATTTGTTAAAAATTAATAAACATTTGTTCTATGTTAAGGCACTCAGGCTTTTTATAAATCGGCCATTTTGCCCTATTGAAAGCTCCCATGAGGGTTATTATTTTATTCACAGATTAAGACCTCCATCGGAGGGGCTATGGTAGGACCTTTCCAACTCCCCCCACCTGGGACCCACTGTAGGACCTGGGCGTCTTAGAAAACACACCTCAGCTGTGCTGTTTAAGAATGATGGATGTTTAGAAAGCCTATCTGCAGGGTAGAAAGTGAGGAACATCTCTTTGACTCTTTGCCACATCATTAGAAAATGGAAAATAATAAGGTTCCCAAAATGCTCTCATAGATGCAATACAAAGCAAAAGACCTGGAATCACAGGGACTTGTAGCTTCTCAAATCTGCTTTTTATAAAAATGCTTTGTCAATCACAACATCCACCTTTCTATCAGGTTTTTTTTTTTTCCTAGTCATCATACATATGGGTGATTTATATATTTTTTTTATTGTCCCTGAAGTTTTTTTTTTTTTAATTTTTCTTTTGCCAGAGCATTTTATTTTATTTTTATTTTATTATGTTATGTTAGTCACGATACAATACATCACTAATTTTTTTTTTTAAAGATTTTATTTATTTATTTGACAGAGAGAGACACAGCGAGAGAGGGAACACAAGCAGGGGGAATGGGAGAGGGAGAAGCTGGCTCCCCGCAGAGCAGGGAGCCTGATGCGGGACTCGATCCCAGGACCCTGGGATCATGACCTGAGCTGAAGGCAGTCGCTTAACCAACTGAGCCACCCAGGCGCCCTACATCACTAATTTTTGATGTGGTGATCCATGATTCACTGTCTTCATATAACACGTGCTCCATGCAGTACGTGCCCTCCTTAATACCCATCATCGGACTAACCCATCCCCCCATCCCCCTCCCCTCTAAAACCCTGTTTGTTTCTTGGAGTCCCTCCGATTACCCCCCTTCATTTTTCCCTTCCTTCTCCTAATGTCCTCCATGCTATTCCTTATGTTCCACAAATAAGTGAAACCATATGATAATTGACTTTCTCTGCTTGACTTATTTCACTTAGCATAATCTCCTCCAGTCCCATCCATGTTGATGTGAAAGTTGGGTATTCATCCTTTCTGATGGCTGAGTAATATTCCATTGTATATATGGACTACATCTTCTTTATCCATTCGTCTGTTAAAGGGCATCTCGGCTCTTTCCACAGTTTGGCTATTGCAGACATTGCTGCTATGAACACTGGGATGCATATGGCCCTTCTTTTCACTACATCTGTGTCTTTGGGGTAAATACCCAGGAGTGCAATTGCTGGGTCATAGGGTAGCTCTATTTTTAATTTTTTGAGGAACCGCCACACTGTTTTCCAAAGTGGCTGTACCAACTTGCATTCCCACCAACAGTGTAAGAGGGTTCCCCTTTCTCCACAACCTCTCCAACATTTGTTGTTTCTTTCCCTGTCAATTTTTGCCATTCTAACTGGTGTAAGGTGGTATCTCAATGTGGTTTTGATTTGAATTTCCCTGTTGGCTAATGATGCTGAACATTTTTTCATTTTTTTAAAGATTTTTATATGAAGGTTTTCAATCATCATTATAATAAAAACTTTTAAATACGTGAAAGTTGCAAAGGGGCTGAGGTAGTTCATTTTTGCAATTTTTGTAGGCAACTGCTATTTTAAAGTGGAGGAATATTATACAGGGTCTGAATGGATCTTTTCATTGTAGGCAGAGGTAGCTGGAGAACAGTCCAGAGAGGTGAAGTGACTTGCCTCAGATCACACCTCGTAGGAACCTACGAAGCTCGCTCTCCAGACTGCTTGTCCAGATTGTTTTCTATTTCTACTACATTCTAGTATTTTGTACTATCTCATTTATTAAGTTTGACCTATGTTTAAATATAAAGGTATTTTACAAATATTTTGTAATTGAGACATACATGATGCCTCAGTTCAGACATTTTCTTCTCATAGATTGGAATTGCATTTGTATCTGAATTCATGGGCCCTCTGGAAACTGATGTCCTTTGATAAAGCCAGTCAGTTGATCACTGTGCTATTTTTTAATTTTTTTTAAGATGTATTTATTTGAGAGAGAGTGGGTGGGGGAGGGGAAAGGGGAGAGAATCTCAAGCAGACTCCCCACTGAGCACAGAGCCCAATGCAGGGCTCGATCTCATGACCCTGAGATCATGACCTGACCCGAAATCAAGAGTCCCACACTCAACCGACTGAGCCACCCAAGTGCCCCACTGTGCTACTTTTCAGAGTGGAACAGAAAGCATGACAGACTTCCCCTTGAGCAGACAGCCCCCTTCCCTGCCAGGAACAAAACCCAGCCACAAGTCCTCATGCAGCAAGATGAGTGGGATCGGCAGAGGCCCAGCTGGGCCAAGGAGGGCAGGATGGGCTGGAGCTCCAGCATACAGTGAGCCTGCGGAGAGGGTGAGTTCAGTGAGAGCAAGCAGGAGGCACAGGGAGAGGAGGAGAGGTAGAAGAGAGAGGAAAGACCTGGTGGGGAGGGAAGGAAGTACCAGGTGCCCTAGGGCAGATGATCCAGAGCACAAATAGGCCTGAATCAAAGCAGGCAAGAAGGCCAGAGTTCAGCGGGGTCAGGCTCCTGGGGCACATCCCATGACTCCAGGAGCCTGGGGGGCAAAGAGTCAGAGGGTCTGGGTCTCAAGTCAGGGACTGTGTCTGCCCCACTCACCTTGTGCCGCAGTGGCAAGCTTGCAGCAGGTCTTCAGATGTTAGTGGAAGAATGAAAGGGATGTAGGGAGTTCAGGAGCTCAAGCCAGAAAGTCTGGTTATTTAGGGGCTAAGATCAACCAGAAAGTCTGGATAACAGCAAAAATGACATGAAACTGAGTCAACATCCCTGGAAAATACCAGACACTTCTCCCCAGAGTTAGAAAAGTGGGAAGTGAGTTCATGGTCCAAGGCAGGAAAGAGACAACAGGACAGGAAGAGAGGTTGGAGGAGGAAGAGGGAGAGGAAACAATAATTTTTATTTTTGCTAGTTATTCATGGAAGCCTCTTTTCTCTATCACTTACATCCCAAAAGGCTCTTGATAAAGACACACATATATATATATATACACACACACATACACATATATGTTGTAGTTAAGCATGTCACTAATAGTAGCATGATTCCACTTCAGGCTAGAGTCAGACCTTATCTAGGAATGGCTTATGCAATCTATAAAGAAATATTCCCTTAAGATGATGAGCTAGGTGGAAATAAACTCCTACCCAGAGCCCCCGTGAATCTAGTGCTTCCAAAACTTTTTACCAAGGAACTGCCTCCCTCCCTGGATCCTCAGCTCACATGTCTGTAGGTACAGTCTACGCACTGCCCCAGCCTGTTTCCTGCTATTCCAGACAATGACAGGCAGATCAGGCCCAGGCCCAAGATCTCTCCTGAATTTTGATTCCTAATCTTCCCCCCCGTCCCCCCATGCCGAGACCTCTGCAGATCCTGAACTTCATCTTTTCTGTCTTTGCATTGACCTGGCCCTGAGGAAGGGGCCCAACAGTGGCAACGGAGAGCTCCAATTCCTCTCCCTCCCTCTCCCTTTATATTCTCCTCTCACTGTCGGGATTCCCAGAACTTTGTTTCTTCTCTAACTCCCCCAAATCCTATGAATCTCAACACTGAGCCTGCCAGTTCCTGAAACAGTTCTCTGCCTGGTGTTCCCTGCTCCTGGATCCCAGCTAAATCACCCGGCCCTATTTAAAGAAGTTAAACAACTCAAGATCATACAGATGAACAGAGGTAGGACTCAGAGCTAAGAATGCTGGTACAGTGTCAGGCGCAGGCTACCAACTCAGTTGATAAATACGCATTTGAGAAAATTTAAAAACTGTCCTGCAAATGCAAGAATTTATAAAACTTATAAAACATAGTATACAGGCTCAAGAAGGTTATGGGTTTTAAAAATTCAGTTCAGGATATCACCACAATGACCAGAGCAGTCAGGCATCATTATTAAAAGATCCAGGGGCACCTGGGTGGCTTAGTCAGTTAAGCATCTGCCTTCAGCTCAGGTTGTGATCCCAGGGTCCTGGGATCAAGCCCTGCATCAGGCTCCCTGCTCAGGGGAGAGTCTGCTTCTTCCTCTCCCTCTGCTGTTCCCCCTGCTTGTGTGCTCTCTCTCTCTCTGTCAAATAAAATAAACAAAATCTTGGGAAAAAAAGATCCATAATGGTGCCTTAAAAAAGCACATCTTTGGGGACTGGTAGAAGGAGCTAGAACGGTATGACTCAAGCTGTGTTCTACGGAAGACTGGCATCTTGGGATGTGAATTAGTGTGCCTTGACAAAATAGTTCATGATTCCATTAGTTTAGGATGCATCCTCTGTATCCCCCTCTTGGTATTCCCAGTGCATTTAAGCTACTTCAAGCTCTAAGATGTAAAGAAACCCATTAAGTTTGATTTGACCTAACCTTTTCTAAACTTACCTGACCGCCGCTCTCTTTTTTCTAGAATATACCTATTTAGTCTGAGGACACAGTTTGGGAAATTCTGAGCCAGATTTAGTCAATAGGTTTATTTAACTCCTGATTTTTTTAATTCAATCATTAGCTAGAATGAAGCAGGGCCCTGGCTTTATCCGGTTCGGTAGATAATCGTAAACCTTCCGTCCTTAGAGATTCTCTGACATATGCCCTGCATGGAAATGTGTCCTTATTCAGTGTTTTTTTTTTTTTTCCTTCTAATTTCGAGAATTTAACAAAAGGATAGGAAAGTAATCACATCACTTCAAAAAGCCTTCCTCTGCAGTCCCTCCTAGCTTCAGAAGACTAAGGATGTCCGAGTGGGAGCTATCCCTGCTCATGAAGAATTCGTGTCCAAAAGCACATCTTTTTGGGAGTCAGAATATCATGGGCCCCAGCTGGAATAGGCCCTAGAGGTTGGCCGATCGATGCGGTCCTCTGCTAACCAGAAAGTAGCCTCGGGAGGGTTGGCGGCCGTCAAGACCACAAGCTACTCAGTGGTGAAGCCGGGATTAGAGCCCAGGTCCTTTGGTGCCTCTGCCAGGAAGTTTTTCCTGTCCTGGAATTATCAGCTTTTCTCAGAAAGGAAGAGATCAGTCCTCTTCATCCTGAAAACCACAGTGGAAAGACAAGGAGATATGCCAAACGTGAACACTGCCTGACATAGAGATGACATTTTGGTCTTAATTCTAGTTTTCTGCATTGGCCAAAATGTCTACAAAGGGCATCTACTGCTTTTATGCCAAAAAAAAAATTACTTTAAAAATGAAGAAAAAGGGGCATCTGGATGGTTCAGTCGTTAGGCGTCTGCCTTCGGCTCAGGTCATGATCTCGAGGCCCTGGGGTCAAGCCCCGCATCAGGCTCCCTGCTTGGCGGGAGGCCTGCTTCTCCCTCTCCCACTCCCCTACTTGTGCTCCTTTTCTGACTGTGTCTCTCTCTGTCAAATAAATAAATAAAATCTTTAAAAAAAATAAAAACAAAAATAAAAATGAAAAAAAAATAAGCAGAAGGTAAAGTACATACCCTGGAAAGCATCATCTACGTGGCTCTTAGTCGTTGATCAAAATAAGCAGAACTAATAAAATACCGTGGCATTTCCCTGTGCCAGGGGAGGCATCAGGCTGTGAGCAAGGATGACTCATGGAGGCAGTGGGGAGACCTCCCCGCTGGCTGCCCGTGGGACATCAGCTCTGTCTCATGGGCTCCACGCCGCTGTGGCTTCACCCACAGACTGGCAAGGAGTAGAGTCCTGCTTTCACTACCTATGGTAATTTCCTCTTAAAGCATGTGTCTCAAGATTGGCGTTGAATGACTCCTCAATGATTTCTAAGCTCACCCTCACTGAATACACAAGTTTGATCGGAAAAAAATTTTTTTTACTTTGCTTTTCTGTACATTTGCATTGGCCCCCCACCTAGCAAAAACTTTTCTTCGGCCCAACTGGGTGTAAACACAATACTTTTAGAAATTTAACCTGTCTTGGAGCCCCAGCAAGTCATAAATTGTTTATGTACAAGGCACATGGGTATGTGGGTGTGTGTGTGTATGTGCATGAGTATGTGTTTGTGTGTGTTTATTTGTCTCTGTCCTTTCCGGCTGCTATACAAAAATATCACAGATCGGGAGGCATATAAACAATAGCCATTTATTTCTCACAGTTTTGGAGCCTGAGAAGTCCAAGATCCCGGCTCCAGCAGATTTTATGTCTAGTGAAGGCCCATTTCCTAGATGCATGACTTTTTGCTGTGACCTCACATGATGGAAGGGGCAAGGGAGCTCTCTGGGGTCTCTTTCATAAAGGCACTAGTCTCATTCAAGAGGACTCCCCCTCATGACGTAAGCACCTGCCAAAGGCCCCACCTCCTCATACTATCACACTGGGGACGAGGTTTCAACATATGGGGGAAGGATGCAAACATCCTGTGTCTAGCAGTGTGCATGTGAGCTTTCTGAACCTGACTCAGATCCTTTAGTGCTAAAGGGAATGATTGAATAATCCTTTCAGTCAAATAGCGTGCATTCAGTCACTTTGGAATCTGTTCACTGAAGCTTTCCAAAAACCGTATGTCCATTGTTATCTGAAAATACTCTGAATCTTTAGACAAGCATTATTCCTCTTCAAAGTAGCGGCTCAGGTAGGTCTTCAGTGTGACTATCGTTGCCTTTGATACTTCATTTTTCACTCTCTTCTTGCTGACATTAACCGTGACTCTTTGTTGTATGCCTTCCCATTTCCAGGCTGTCACTCCTCCTTGCCGTCAGCACTATCCTAACCTGCCCTCCCTCCCATAGTCCCAGAGGGTGTGGTGTCCCTCCCTCCCCTGCTTAGGGCCAATGGCCAATGGCTTTAGCATTTCATCTCCCTATGGGCCCTGATCCATTAATCACTTCTCTTGGTCACTGTATCTTTAATTTTTCTCTTTTTACCAATTTTTCCCTCTCAGTTTATAGGCCTTATAAGCTTACTTTTTATAAGCTTTATAATTTTATTCAGTTCTCACCCATCTTAAAAAAAATAGCTCCCCCCTTGACCATACATGTCTTCTGGCTATTGCTTTACCTTTTTTGTTCCCTTTTCCTCAAGTTTCTCAGGTGGTGAGACTGTACTCCCTGTTTCCATTTTCTCAATTCACATCTACTCCTCCCCAGGAGTATCCTGGCTCTACCCATGAAACCGCTAAGAAGGTTTAAGTGGAGGTCAACAGTGATGAGGCAGTCCTGGACACGTCTTGCTCATGACCCTGATGATGGCTCATGCCTTGAGACACTCTCTGCTCACGTGGCTTCCAAGACTGCACATTTAGTCTATCCTCCTTACACTCCTCTGGCTGTTCCTTCTCAGTCTGTTTCACACTCCACACGTGAGCTACTGTCCCTCCCCTGCACATCCAGATTGTCCTCCACGGCGGACCCAGATGATCGATTTGCACCTCAGTCTTTCTTCCCCTCTGGGTTGTGAACTTCCCAGGGGCAGATCCGGGGCTCCCCTTGCCTTGATATCCATAGTATCTAGGACAATGCCTGGCACAAGGTAGACAATAATTCATGGACCTTTTCCATTGGGGATGCGAACTGGTAGCCAGCAGGTGAGATGCAGTCCACGGTCACATGGTTTATTTGGACCATATGATGGCTATTTTTGAAAAAATATCAGTGTTTAAAAATCAGCAGACCACATATTAAAAATCTAAAGTTTTGGAATCTCTTAAGAGGTCTAAATACCTGGAAACATTAGGTTCATGTTTTTCTGGGGGTACTGACCTCATTAGAAAGGGCACTTGCTCACCATTTCACATTCACTCTCAGCCTACATCACTCCCGGACCCTGGAGGGAGCCATTACCCCAGGGGCAGGTTCCTCATATGTGCCCAAAGAGATGTCAGGGGGGATTTTTTGGTTGGGCTTCATCCGGGGGAGTGGCCAGATGTTGTCCAAAGCAGGCAGATGGTTGCTTTTGCTTAAAGAGTGGAGAAATGGTCAGAGACAGCCTTGGTTGTCCTAGAACATTTAGGTTGAGCAAGAAGTCAATCCTGGACAATGACTTCTGCTCTGGTTTTCTGTCTTTCTAGATTTCTGTT